CAGAAGTCTCCAGGACAAGGTAGTATTTCCAAGTTTGGGCTAATCATTTGTGTAGCTGTGCAGCATTGGACAAGTTACTACATTCTCTGAGTCTCAGGTTCCTCATTTTTTAAAATGGGAACATGTCAGGTTTAAATTGTCAAAGCTAGAGATAAGTGTGTAAAGCATCTGGCCCCATCCTTGGAGCACTCTCAACATTTGGTGCATGATAAAAGTCATTATCGATGGACTCAAATGGGATCTGAGCACGTATGTTTCCTGATTACCGGCTAGATTAGGGCTCTGAGTCGTCTAGAAGCCTCCTGATACTCTGTAGGAAATAGGGTGAGGGTGTACATGCACAAATGGCTCCATTTTGGAGGGCAGGAGATCCATAGTTATCTTCAGATTCTCAGAGGATGAGTCTCTGTAAACAGTTGAGCAGGTTGTTGACTGAACAAGGGGACCCAAGGGAGGCCGAAATCCAGCCTTGCGCTCAGGGTGATGGCCCATCTGGGGGAAGACGCAGCGTTTTAGGATTCCCACAAAGCCATGATATGCATCAGGTTAAGAATTTCTGAGTTGGAGAAAACTGCCTTCACCCTCCCCGCTCACTCCCACTCCCTCGGATCTTGTTCATTGTAGGTAGGGCCCCCATCTCTGGGCCCGTGTCACCTCTGCTTCGCGTTCCTCTTCCCATGGGAAGGAGCTGCCAAAATGGAAGGGGAGAAGCCACGGGACTAGGGAAGGGAAGGGTTTAACTTGAAGGAAACGAATTAGAAGAATAAGTTTGACAGAGATCGCAATTACTGGGTCGTTAGTCACGCTGCATCGTCTTGATGGCTGGGGGGCAGCTCTCCTAGGAGAGCTGGACCATGAGCGATGAGGTAATGTGGGTGCTTTGGGCCTTTTCAATGAGAGAGAGTCTGCAGGTGGGGAGTCCAACTTTTGCCCCCTCCTCAGCTTAAAAACGATTTTTTTTTAAAATGGTAAAATAGACCCGACATAAAATTTATCCCGAGTGATATTTATACATTCGTAGTATGGTGCAACATTTATATCACCCCAAAGAGGAAAAGTTGTACCCGTCCTCCCCTCTCCCCCAGCCCCCGGTGACCCCACTCATCTGCTTTCTGTTTCTATGGATTTCCCTCTTCTGGGCATTTCGTATAAATGGAATCGCACGCGTGACTTCAAGGCTCATCCATGTGGTAGCGTGGAGTGGAGCCTCCTTCCTTTTGATGTCTGGGTATCTCTTTGGATGCACCATGTTTTGTTGACCCGCTCATCAGTTGATGGACCCCTTGGGTCCTGTCTGCCCTTTGGTCATTGTGGGTAAGGCTACTGCGAACGTGGCTCTACAAGTGTTTGAGCGCCCTTTTCAGGTCCCTTGGATACGTCCCCAGGTGTCTCCGCGTCTTTTGACTCCTGATGTGTTTCAGGCCACCAACTGGGGGAGCTTCTTTCTGGGAGAGAGCAAAGGCAAGAGGGCTGTGGTGGCCTCGGGGGGATGGGGGCAGAGCACAGTCAGGTGACAGGCAGAGCGGGGAGCTGTGGTCATGCTGGAGGGGGATGTGGGGACGGCCTTGGCGGCGTTGGCCAAATTAGGAAGTAGGCTGAGTTGGCCCTGGTGTTCTCCTGTCCACCCCTTCTCTTCCAGCGCCTCTTGGCCCTTCCTGGCTCAGTAGCAGAAGTGCTTCCCCCCACAGGCACCTTCTATAGGTTCGGGCATGGAGGGTCCAGCATTTCCTAGACGCGTGAGACCTCAGGGTGGCCGGTCATAGTGCCTCCTTGGTCATCAGTGTCCTCCAGGGGAGGCCAGAGCTTGTTCTGAGCCCACAGAGTCAGATAAATCCCCTGGAGTCCTTCTCAAGAGAAAAAGCACCGTGCAGCCTTGGAGACGGGGCAGGTGGCCTTGTTTGCTGTCTGCCAGGAAGGCGCATGGAGGGTCGGAAGTTTGCTCCACTCATCCAACCAGCCCTGCTTAGGAGCGGTCTCCTTGTACCCACCCATCCTTCTCCGAAGATCCAACTGGTCAACCTCTGAACGCATGCCCTCCCCAGCAGGTGTGTGCTTGGCCTGCTGAGTTGCAGTCTTGGAAACAGAGGGCTGGGGAGAAGTGACTGTTCCTGGTGACATATCAGGCGTGGTGGGGCAGGCTGAGGTGTGGGCACCTGAACTTCACCTCTCAGGGGGCAGAGGCCGTGTGAAGCTTGGTCTCTCTGGGCACTTAAACACACACCCTCCCGCTGGGACCCCTCCGTCATGGAGCGTTCCCGGTGACACGCACCCTTCTAGGTGCCTTCCACAACAGAACTCCCGTCCTCCCCTGTTGTGTAGATGTGTAGATAAATGCAGTGGCTGAGTCACTTTCCTATCATGCGGCTGCTCAGGGGCTGAGTCAGGATTGAGGCCCAGGCTGGAGGGCTGTTTCCACGGTGCTTCTGGGTCCCTCTCCCTTCTGTACCCTATTTCTGGCCATGTCTGTTTCTGGTCCTTGCTTAATACCCTTTAACAATTTCCCATTCCCTCCCAGGCTGCTGGGAGAAACACCAACATAGCCTTCCCATCTTGGATACTCGAAGACTCTAGCAGAAGCAGCCTGGCATCATACCCTCTGGTTCTAGAATATTTCTCTCTTAAGTTAAGCCTCCTCACCTCCCTAGTCCTGTGTGACCCCCAGCCCCACTCAGCCAAGATGCACATCTCCTGTGTGGGATATTTTATACACGCGCCCCTGGCATGCACACGCACACTACTCATCCTGAGACTCTGTGTGCGTGTATTTGGACCACCTTGCAATCCGGGAGAGGCCAGAGCAGGTGTCTGGAGGCCCAGGTAAACACGCTCAGTGGACATGCTCTGTTGGTGAGATCTCCTGGCTGGTGCTTGGCTCCTGGTAGTTTAAAAACCTCCTTCCAGGGGCGCCTGAGTGGCTCAGTCGGTTAGGCGACTGCCTTCGGCTCAGGTCATGATCCTGGAGTCCCGGGATCGAGTGCCGCATCGGGCTCCCTGCTCGGCGGGGAGTCTGCTTCTCCCTCTGACCGTCTTCCCTCTCGTGCTATCTCTCATTCTCTCTCTCTCAAATAAATAAATAAAATCTTTAAAAAAAAAAAAAAAACCTCCTTCCAGGGGTGCCTGGGTGGCTCATGGGTTAAGTGTCTGCCTTCAGCTCAGGTCATGATCCCAGGGTCCTGGGATCAAGCCCCTCATCGGGCTCCCTGCTCAGTGGGAAACGTGCTTCTCCTTCTCCCTCTGCTTCTGCTCTCTCTCTCTGCCAAATAAATAAATAAAATCTTAAAAAACAAAACCAAAAAAAAAAAAAAAAAAAAACCCCAACGCCTTCCATACTGAATCTGAGGCACTGCAGGTTGACAGCCTTTAACCATGTTGGCCACGGGGAGGCCGTGGTTACTCAGGGTCCCAGGACCGTCTAGGATGGACCTGGTCCCTGGTGAGGGCATGCCACAGGCAGAACTAGCTGGTTTTGCAATCTTCAGACAATAGGGGAGCCGGGCGGGCAGGGAGCCGCGGGTCCCTATCGCTTGCTTTGGATCTGTTAGCTGTTTTTCCTAAGTAGCCGTCTTTAGCGACCAAAACTGCCTCGGTGGGCATGGCGGAGAGCTGCCGAGGACATTCAGGAGCGGAGTAGTTTTTAATACATCTGAACAGGGCGCCTGGGTGGCTCAGTTGGTTAAACGTCTGCCTTCGGCTCAGGTCATGATCCCAGGGTCCTGGGATCGAGTCCCGCATCGGGCTCCCTGCTCAGCAGGGAGCCTGCCTCTCCCTCTGCTTCTCTCTCTCTCTCTCTGTCTCTCATGAATAAATAAATAAAATCTTTAAAAAAAATACATCTGAACAGAGTCCAGCTTTGCTGAGAAATTCACGGCCCCTCTCCCTGTGCGGTTGAATCCACTTAGCTATCTTCAGAAGGTACAGCCATTGTGTGGGCTAATTTGGACCCTCTTTCTTTATTTTTAAATGTTCTCTAGCTCACCGCTTATTTTCGTTGTTTGAGGGATATTTAGATGCAAGAGATAAGTAAAAAGGAGAGGAGAAAGTTTGCGCATCGCGCCACCGCCGGAAGTCATCTCTCTTGTAGGTTCTGTGGGTTCACCTGCTTTCTCTCTCTTACACACACATATATATTTTTTCTCTTATTTGTATTTTTAAGAAGAAGACTGCTCTTCATGGTCAAAAGATTAAACCAGGGCGCCTGGGTGGCTCAGTCAGTTAAGTGTCTGCCTTCGGCTCAGGTCCCGGGATCGAGTCCCGCGTCGGGCTCCTTGCTCAGCAGGAAGTCTGCATCTCCCTCTGTCCTTCCCCCTGCTTGTGCTCTCTTTTTCTCATGCTCTCTCTCTCAAATAAATAAATAAAAATCTTTAAGGAAGAAAAGATTAAACCACACATAAGTGCACAAAGTACACATGATGGAAAGGGAGCTGTGGTTTGGGCGTGGGTCCTGGTTCTCTCCAGATCCCCCAGAGAGATTTGGACACTGGAGCAGAAAAGCCCCCCGCTGCCACAGCCCTTCATCCGTTCTCGGCGTGGTTATAGAAGGCTTCAGATCTCGCTCTGCTGAGACTTGGGTTAATTAACTTCTGGTGGGTTCGCACAGCAGGCCCTGGGCCTCGCCTGCTGCTATACGTGGGGGTCCTGGGGATCCAGGCTTTGGATTCCACGGTGGGCATGCGCAGAGGGCAGGGGGCTGCCTGGGAGAAGGCCCAGCTCTGCTGACTCTCCTCTGTGGGAAGCTGTCCCTTCCGCGGTGGCTCTGAAGCAGCAAGCGCTCCTCACACCTCACGCTTGGGCAAGCCCCCAAATCCCACGTGTGTGGCCTGTGACCTCCTCCCCCCAGGGATGCCAGCAGGCCACCTCCTGTCCCCGCACCCCCAACCCCATCCCCAGCATCGGCTCTTCCACAGTGACTTCAGCTGCTTCCTACTGCGTGGTCCCAAACTGGTTGCAACCCAGTTACCGAAATGCCCGGCATGTGTGACCTTTTCTCTCCTCTTCCGCAGAAGCCTGGAATGGTCCCCCCTCCTCTCGGAGAGGAAAGCCAGATTGTTGTCCTTCCACCTGGCTGGCAGAGCTACCTGTCTCCTCAGGGCCGCCGTTACTATGTCAACACGACCACCAATGGTGAGTCCCGCGCTGGGGAGCATCCTGCACTGGCCCCCGCTTTTCTGTCCCCCTCTCGCCTCTCCCAGTGGTTAGACTTTTTCCTCGGAAACCGGCCTCAGAGGCTGCGGTGGGTTCTCGCTTTCCTCCCACGGTGCTGGGCGTTGGGGGTCTGTGCTGGATTGGGAAGCCCATCCTTCGGGGTCGGGGTCGGGGGGTCCTCCCTGGAAACTCATAGCCACCCCTGGGCATCTCTGTTGAACCCGACCTCATGGTCTAGGGCTGTTTTCCGAATCTCAAAAGGTTTTTCTCTGGTCAACAGCTGGTTTGAGTCAAGTTAACCAGGTTTAGCTATTGCGTGATTATCTTGGAACATGGAATGGGCTGATGAGAGACAAACTCCCAAAAGAGGGTTTGCAAGCGAGGGATTTCCCTAACTTCACCACACATTGCTTACTCTTCCCTGTAGTAGCTCACTGGCTGGCATTTCTTGGAATGTTCTTTGGGAAATGTTGGGGCTACTTAGGGATTATTTATTCCAATAGATAACACAGGTCCCGTGTGCATTTCTGAGTTGAGTTAGGACCACACCTCCTTGTCCCCAGTGATTGTGGGCTTCCTGGGCCTTCACAGGGACTCCAGGACCCCAGCAGGAGGGCTCTCGAGTGGGCTGCAAGAAGGCTGGAGAAGGTTTATAGAAGGAGGAGCGGCAGGTTCTCTAGCAAGGTGGTCTTGGGCAGGGTAGGCCAGTGTAGCTAAGAGCTCTGTCTCTTGACCTCATGCCTGCCCGGAGGATGGAAACACACAAGGTTAGACGTGGGGGGCATCACAGATCTGTGTGCCAAGGCAGGATGTGAAATCTAATCCCTGTCCGCATGTTGGCTCGGCCTTCGCCCCTCACTTCCCTTGTCTGCACCCACCTGACTTTAACTGGAGGACCAGCTGCTCTTTAGAGGGAGTAGCAGAGAAAGCAGATCTAGTCCCTGGGCAACCGGCCTTCCGCAGGCTCGAGGGGCGCGTTCCAGCTGAAGAGGTAACTGTGGTTTCTAGGAAAAGGGAAGTAAAACTATTTCTGGTCGTTCTAATCTTAAGCTTCCTCAAAACAAACACATGAGTAGCTTTGCACTGTTCCCGGCCTTTGAAGTTTCAGAGGAAAGTGTATATATGCACAGCTCCCATCTGTGAAATGCAGAAATTGGACCATATGATCCTGAGATCAGCAAGGCTTTGGGCCCGTTCTCATCCGGAATTAGCCACGCTGTTGCAAAGGGGCTGGAGGTGGGTGAGTGGTACAAGAGGCTTTCTAAAAATCTGCATTTTTTTTTTTTTAATTAGAGAGTGGTATATTCTTGGTTAAAAAAAACTCAATGGGTACCAAAAAAAAAAAAAAGTAAAACTCCTTGGTTCCACTCCCTCAAGCTATTTATCATGCATATAGCCCTCCAGATATTTGTATATTCTCTAACCGTCCAAGCATTTGCATGCTTATGCTTTATAATACATTGGAAACACGATCCATGTTGTAGAAGTTGCTTGGACAGCGTACTGTGGCCATCTCTGTATACATGTACATGCTAGTCTGGCTCATTTTGTAACCTGCCGTGGGATAGCCTGTTGCAAGGGTATGCTACTGTTAATTTAACTGTCCCCTCTTTATTCACCGGGTATTAAAGTCCCATGTTACAGTAACTGACAGGATGTAGCAGCTTTTTTTTTTTTTCTGAGGCCCAGACTTTAGCACGGGCTTGGGGGCAGGGTCTGGGGATATAGCGATCCCAAGAGGTTCTAGGTCAAAGGCTGGCAAACTTGGTTCTGTAGAGAGCCAGGTACTACGTTGGTTTTGTCCTTGAGGTTTCTGTGGTCTCGGCCACCACTCCTCAGCTCTGTCCTTATGCAAAAGCAAACCCACGAGTGTAGCTGTGTTCCGATAAAACTTTATTTACGGACACTGGAACGTGAATTTCAAATAACTTTTGCATGTTATGAAACACTTTTGATTCTTTTTCGAGCAGCTTTTTTTTAAAGACTTTATTTATTTGAGAGAGAGAGAGAGTGAGCAAGAGAGAGAGCACAAGGCGGGAGGGGTAGGGGCAGAGGGAGAGGGAGAAGCAGACTCCCCGTTGAGCAGGGAGCCTGACAACAGGGCTCGATCCCAGGATCCTGGGACCATGACCTGAGCCCAAGGCAGATGCTTAACTGACTGAGCCACCTGGGCACCCCCCCCCCCTTTTTCAAGCACTTAAGACGATCTTAGTTCAGGAGTTCACGGGCTGTATGGTAAGGAGGGGGGGTGGGCCCTCACGCTATGACTCCGGCTCTAGGCTCTCTGTTATTTCTGATAGGACCCTCCTTACCTTTCCCCACCTTCTCTGAAATGTTCACAGTCATCCTGGCTTCTTGGTCTTGTGTTCTAGATACATGCTACTTTTATGCACTATTTAATTCATCCTTATCTGTTGGATTGATTGATTCATTCATTCAACAGACACTGGGCCTCACCCAAGTCCCAGGCCAACCGTTGGATGCTGGGGATATAATAATAATAATAAAGAAGCATCCCTCCCCTCAAAGAGCTCATCTTCTCAACATTGGAAGCAGATTTGAAATGAATATGTATTTGATGACCCTTATGAGCAGGGCTGTGAAGGAGAAGTCCAGGGTGTTTTGAGAGTGCGTTCCAGAGAGACCCTAGAGAGATCAGGGGAGGCTTCTTGGAGGAGGAGACGCCCTGCAGCTAAGATGCAGGAGGGCTGAGGGCTGAGGAAGGGGTTGGGGGTGGGAAATGCCTTTCTGAAGGTGAAGCCATAGTCAATGCTGGGAGGGATCATGTGCAGACCCTGAAGAGCATATTAAGGATTTTGTTCCTTAGCCCAAGGGCTGTCTTTCTGATTCTCCCTTGGATGACTCAGGGGACACTTGGCTAGAGATGAGAATCTGGGGAGCCATGTGGGTGCTTGGCTTGGCACATAGAGAGCAGAATGGATTTCACTCCTACTTGCCCCCTTGGCCTGGCATCATTGTGCAGTGGCCAACCTATACAAACACACATGGCGGCCCAGAATTCTCGTTCAACCAGCAGAGAAAGAAGGCCGTGAAATGCAGGAAATCACCCAGGGCGAACATCTAGGAGAGAGCCCTGCAGAAAAACATTTAAGGGAGGGGCGAAGGAGACTTTGAAATAATTGTCAGATATAAGAAGAATCCAGGAGAAGTAAGGCAATATCATGAAAGGCAGAGGAAAAAAGACTAAGAAGGGACATTCAGAGACAGACTGAAATATAGATCAGGCTTACGGTAGAGGTGATATTTTAAATCACTGGGGGAAGCACAGATTATTTAACAAATAGTGTTGGGCCAGATGGCTAACCAGAAGTTTCAGTGGGTAAGTTCATGCAATAGTATAAACTCAGCAAGGCCATCAAAGCATGCTTTAGGAGACTCTGGGAAGTCCCCAACTTTCCTTATCTCCCCATGGTTATATCTCTCCAGGGTGTTTTGTCATGCAAAGGGGCCCTGAGCTTGGGCCCCAGGAACCCTAGGGGTTCTGGTATCAGGACAGGCTTGTACTATATTCCCACCAGAATTTGACTATTGCCAAAAATGGGGTTGTGTTTAGTTTCCGGATATTGAGCTATTGCTAATATCCTATCCTTTTCAGGGACCTAAGTTAGTGTGAAGGGGGACCTCTTATTTGTACAACAGGTATTTGCATTTCAAGAGATGGAGCTCAGTGTTGTTTAGTTCTCTTAGTAACTGGAAGGCCGGAAATGCCTTCCAGTTATTAATCACTTAGCAGTGATATGGTCATAGCTGTTCAGGTCCTCTTTTTGGAGATGTGCTGACTTTAGATACCGTTTAGGATATATTTTACCGTTTGGACGTTGAAGGGGTATTTCAAGCCAGTAATGAAGGCCAAGATTAGTTTTGTATAATGTATGAGTCAATATTTCATCTCTTATGTATTAGTCTTTGTACACTGTAAATCCAATAGCTTCATTTATTTATGTTTTTCATTTCTAAAGGAAGAAGATCACTTGAGGGGGATGTCTTAGCTCTCCTTGTCTAGAAAGCAGAGCCTGAGGCAAGGATTAAGTATTAACACTTCATTTAGGCTGTATAAGCCCAGAGCAGTGAAGAGTGGGTGAGAGAGGGAAGATGTCACATGATGCTGGCTAGTGTTGATAGTGAACCGCAGAGAGATCCAACAGGTCTGTTCAGGTCTCACCCAGCAGGTGTGTTCACTTCTCTTGGAAGGGTTACAGAGAAGAGCCATGCCTTTGAGTAGTCCATGGGAAAGCAGAGGTGTCTGATCTGCTCACCTCCCTCTCATCTCCTATTTCCTGTTGGCCAAACTAATGCCCCTTGGAGAGCTATTTCCTCCACCCTTTTGGGTTGTATCATCTGGCCCCCAGAAAGCCTGACTCCAGCCCCACAGAGTGATGCTTCATCCAAGCCCTAGGTGGATGGCCAGTGGAACATAGGTGAGGTATCAACCAAAATAGAAGGAGGCAATGGATGGAAACTTAAGAAAGAGCCCAAGGTCTGTGTCCCAGTACATGGACTCTAAAGCACTGAGTTTGCGGTGGACATCTAACTCTTGTATCAGATTTTGATGATGCATGTGTTTCCAGAGTTTCACTGGCCAATGAGTTTTACTCCACAGTCACCCTAAGGAGGACCTTCCAAGGCTCTCGGCAAACTAGGGCCCTTGGGCCAAATTCAGCTTGCAGCCTATTTTTGTCAATAAAGTTCTATTGAACACAACCATGCTCTTTCGTTTGCCTGTTGTCGAAGGTGGCTTTCACACACACTATGATGGCAGAGCAGAGACCAGACATGGTGTGGTGACAAAGCCAGAAATATTTACCGTCTGGCCCTTGAAAGAAAAAGTTTGTTGATCTCTGGTTTAATAAATAGAACCCATCCATTTTACACATGAGGAAGTGGAGCGCCAACCCCCCCCCGCCCCCCGCCCCTCCACCAAGTGGTACAGGAACTTGATCCAGATTACCTGGCCATTC